ATCCAAGGAGGTTTATAAAAAAACTGAGAAAGCTTCCACTCAATTCAGGCAGAACTACAATATTATCATGTAGAAACGATAGCTACTCCATCTAGAATCTAGATCTAGATTCTAGATCTGGTACTGGCGTTTCAAATAGCACGGGAGCTATTCAGAACGCGGCGTTGCAAATAGCGCCTGCCAAAAATTAGAATAAACAGCACCGTCTAGCTAGATGAAACAGTGATGTGTAGCCCTCAGCTGACTCCAACACATCTCGGCGGTATACTACACACCACATGGCACATTTTTTGCCTTCACTTTCAAAAATGAAGGGGCGGGCAAATGGTAAACAAAAGAAAACACACAAAAGTAATTAAATTGGTAACCCGGTATTAAATTGTGTTCCCCGCGTTAATTTTACTAATTTTGGGTGGCTGATCACGAAAATCTTATATTACTTTTTTGATTTGACAAATATTTAGGAAATTTTTGGAATGTATTTTCACATACGCCTGGGGTAACATCAGAGAAGCCGCTCTCTCGTCATCACTCCTTCAGTTCGCCGGCCGGCAAATATCTGGCGTCGCCAGATATCTGGTGGTTGGACGGAAAACCCTTTGATATCGAGAGAATTGCTCAGTTTCCATGTGAAATTGACAGGATGCCGGCCATCCTCTCGATATCCTACAGTTTGTCGATCAGCAAACTGTACGTCTAAATGGGGCTTAAGGCCTACTTTGTACAGAGCTCCTCTTGGGGACAAAACCAGAATGTGCATGCTTCATCACTTCATAAAAAAACTACAAAGCAACAAGATATAATTATGGGAACAATTTGTTGGTCAGTCGAGTAGAAGACAACAACAACAACAACAACAACAACAAAAAAGAAGAGAAAAAAAAACACGTCCAGGACCGGGATCTAACCCACAATAAAAAAATAATGGTTTGACTTCAAGCGCAGACGCGCTGTCACTTCGACCATCAGAATTTCCGATAACAATGTGCAGATTAAGCTAGATATTTTACACACGGCGACACAGCGTTTTATTTAGCACTGGCGCTAATCGCAACGTGGCGTTGCAAATAGGCACTTCCTATATAGATCTAGATCTAGAGTCTAGATCTACATTTAAAAAAAAACATCTTCAAAGCAGCTGTACAAATTATAATTTATGGGAATGTTGGTCAGTCGGGAGGAGGAGAAGAAGAAGAAAAAAAGGAGGACTTTCGTAACGAGCAACCACTATGAGACAGCAGAATTGAGGGCAGGGGCGAAGCGTCTATATAATCAAATAATCACTGCTTCCCTTCCTAATTTTGAAACATTGTCGCTGCCAAATTCATCCATAAACGTAAACCTCTTAAATTAAATGTAAAAAGACGTTCGTAATCAACAATGGACAGTATGCCTAACATTCAAAACGGTTTCACGGCCACAGAATAGCCTCTTCACCCCTCTCGGGCCACTCCATAAGCAGTCGCAATCTTTGATTAAGTAAGCTTAAAGTGAGGCTGGAAGAGTCTACCAATAGAGTTGAAGGGAACATGTGCATAGCAGTCAAAGCTGTTTCATTGCCACATATACCCTGTTCACCCCTTTGGGGCCACAGTTATAATCAATCACAATCCCTGATTATGTAAGCTGACTAACACTGGTCGAGTCTACCTCACAAATGTGAGGGGAACTAACTCCTAATAATCTCTTGACTGCTGCATGTGCTTGTTTTTTTTCCTCGACTTTTTACCATCCTATAATCAGATCGTGACCTTGATTATGACACCTGCTCCTGGCCGCGAAAGGCTAACAAAAACAGCCAAATGTGAAATTTAAAAAATGATAATCGTCATGTTCTACCAAAGAGTTAGACTCACTGGTAGATCTATAACATATAGATGTAGTACTGTCATCTCTGCTTTTTTGCTTTGTGTTTATGTATTCACATCTAAAGTTAAATTTAATTTTAGATGGAACTGATATTTAATAAGATACTTTCCCGATTATTTTGGCGGTTGAACATACAATATGAATTCTGGATTTGTTTTCATTCACAACTCAGAGTCGCTGCCTCGAGTAAGATTCTTGTGTGATATCTACAGGCCATATCTGGTCCCGTTTCACTTTGATTACCCTGTCAAACAAGTCAGCCTTCGCCCTTGATTGAGGGGTAGGGTTAGGGTTAGGCCTCTTCTTTATTGTGTTTGATGGGGTGGTCGCTCGTTACGGAAGTCCTTTTAAAAAAAAAGTGACCAGGATCAGAGGATCGAACCGCTCCTAAAATCATTGCATGACTTCAAACGCAGACGCGCTGTCAATTCAGCCATCAGAACTTCTGAGAGCGAGGTGTAGATTGTTAAGCATAATATGCATAGAGACACTTCCATCTTTGGTGCCGTGCGGTTGGCTATACTTAGATGTAGTCACGTGATTGGAGGGGTATCCTGGTCTGACGTCAAAAAAGATTTAAGCGCCTTACTTAAAAATAGTTTTCGTCTTTCTACGTTTAATCGCATGTGATCTTGACCTACTTGCTTTACTCTATGACTATGTGTATCCCTATCGTTAATAAATCGGTGCTTTTTCGCTAGTTCCCACCTCCCTTATTTGAGCCTAGGTCTACATATCTAGAAGATCTAGATTCTATATATATATATATGTTTGATGCGCGGCAAGCTAGCCCCCCATGAAACCCCCCTACTCTTGGGGCCAAAACCATGAATAACAATTACGGGTGGGAACTACGGTATAACTACCGAAAAGCGCCAATAAATCACCCCTGGTGAGAATTTATCGTGACCCGCTATTCTCACCGTTCCCCCCTCCTAGACATCGAAAGTGATGTCTATATTTTTTTAATGGAATAGTTGTTCTTCCTGCTTCAAGCGTTCAGTCCCATGATATAAAGGAGCGCTCTTACAGAATTAAAGTCGGGATATAGGGTATGGAAAATTACGATGCAGAATGTCTTTAAAAATGAAACAGATTTATTCGATCGCGCTGCGCATTTCGTTGATAGAGGAAACGCGCGACAATCCATCGATTGTTGCACATTCTGTTGATCAGCGGATCGCACAGCACTTTTTGTCGATCCGTTTGGTTGCGCTTTCTATAGATCTTACCCCTGAGTTTTGTTATGTTTTGTTGTCGTCCAGAGTGTAATTTAGTTTCACTCTTCAAAGTCAAACGGAAACTGAATGGAAGTAACTGAAAGTCAGGGTTACAATACGAACTAATCGAAGTGACTATTCGAGTCCGAATAGACAAAAATTATATTTGGACTCTGAATTGAGTCCAGTATGATGTCCGTTCCGACCGTTGTTTCTAAATATTTCCAGCATTTATGAACATTTTTTGCGTTATAATGATAACAATTGAGACGTGAGCTTTAATATCCAGTTACTAGAGATGTATCTAAACTTACCCTAATTTGCTTGCGACAGTTTTAGTGGCCATAATATATCTGTGATCTGCAGAAAAAAAATCCAAATGACCCCCTAATCCAAAGCAGTGCATCTGTGTGTAGGAGTAGGAGTACAAAATTTAGTTTTTTGTTTTATTATATTACACTGGTAATTTTATAAATTTGATTTGAGACGGTATTGACCATCAGAAATATATTTTGACCAACTAGACATTTAAATGTCAGTGTTTAAATGTCTTCGTTTCTGCAAAATTAGATCTTCAGTCAGGAATCTTGTGACCTTCTAAGAAGATCAAAGGAATTCACCGCATTGAATTAGTCCATTCAGCATGCAGATTAAAAGACATAAAATCTTAAAATCAGGGAAAATATATATAATACTGCATGCTAAAAAAAAAAAAAAAGCAAACAAACAACCAGCTCTTGTTTTTTTAAACAAATTGTAGAAATGATGAGAGGGCTAAATGTCTCTGATACATACACATGCAGCAATAACTCGTAAAGCCTTTGCCAGAAAGTTAAAGTTGTTTGCGCTTTGGCATATTGTGGGAGGGTGGCCAGTTCCTTTCCATGCCGCCTTTACTTCCCCAACTCGGAGTCAGGTTCTCATTACTGCTGGATGGGCAGGAGGGGGCGAAAAAGATCAGTGTCCGAACCGAAGTTCGAACCCGGACTTCTGCTTTGGAGGCGAGCGCACTAACCGCTCCGCCATCGCACCCTCGAATGAAACTTAATGAAATTTTTTATTTGAAAAAAAGAAGGTGGTCATTGAAACAATCAGCTGCAGTGTTCGGCATGATTTATAGTGATGTACAATCAGAATCAAAGGCTTGTGATGTCCCTTTGATTAATTATTGTTAGAGTCAAGCAGGCAGCAAACTTCTAAACACCCCCCTTCCACTCGTTATAATGAGCTCTCCAAACCCTCTTTCTTCACGCCTTTGTTTACATCACTTTCATCCTTGTACCTTCTATCCTTGTCCTTGACACTTGACACCCCAGGGAAAAGGCTATCCATGGATAAAGGTTATAATAATTTATGAGGGAGATTATAACAAATGTTTATATTGCTAAAACATTCTAGTGTGTGGACAGTCATGAACTAACATTGAACCTGACAGGTGGTAGTCTGTAAGGCTTACATTATAATTATTGTCATAAGGTATCATCATCACCAAACATGGGGCTCCCATGGTATAGAGGTACAGTGTTTCACTGTGTTCACCTCTCATTCAAAAGATCATGGGTGTCACATTATTTCCTGTAGCTTCATTGTTCATTTTGTGCTCACAAGGTAAAAAAGCCTTCTATAGCTCTTACAATGAATTTTTAAGTAACCATCTTTTTTCCTGTTCCAAAGTGAAGTGTCTCTTTCTGCCAATGATTCAGCTTTTTTAAAGGTGTGCCAAGCAAATGTGGTTTCTAAAGGCTGCAGAAAAGATATTAAGTGAGCATAAATTATCTGCCATGCAGTGTTCCCGTCTTACATTTTTAGACAATATTAATCTGATTTAGGTTTTTTTCTATTTAGGATTTTATTGTTTAAAGAAGCAGCTGCTAATCTTTATTACTAAGTTAAACCAATTTTTTTTTTCAGACTGGAATACACACTCTTTGTGCAATTGACATGATAAAAGAGCAAAATGTGTTTTGTCATTCTGTACTACAAAGACAGACATTTGTTTCAATGGGATTTTAACATGATTGTTCATACAAGTAAAAGGAGTATCAAGATTTGGTAGGAGCTGAGTGCCTCATCAACTGGTTCGAGACGCAAATTTTCATCATGGCGACTGATATTGCTCAGTTTGTTCAATGCTTGAAAAAGCCGCCTTTATCTCGGACAGACAAGGTAAGACTTTGATCTCAGACTTACCGTTTATTTTGTTACCATGTGGTACCTCTATGTTTTTTTAATGGTTAAATGTAGTACTGTCCTAATTTAGCCATGCCATGTTGATGTTGTGGAGAAATCAGTTGATTTTTGTCGGGTAGTAAAGGAGCAAAAAACTTTGTCCATTTCTGAGACTTTTCTCTTGATGTGAATCAATTGTAAGTGATGTTTTTGGTGCTTAGTATTGATAGAAATATGCTGTCCTTCCTGCGGTAGTCCCATTCAAAAACATATCTCATAACACTCCTTCACTGAAAGTTTTGAAGAACAAAAAAATACAAAAAAAGCTAGTAGGTATTTGGCGGGGACTCTGGTGTGGTTTGCTCCTTCTTTCTTATCAATCATCCATCGTCCTAAATCTGTCCTTCCTCTTTTTGGTGTTTGTTTCTCTTTTGTAACACCTCTAAACTTCAGCACTTATATGACCTTATTGCGTTGCTAGTGCCGTTTAAACTCTTATTAAAACTTTTTAAAGCTGATGCTTAAAAAAAAAAATTAAGAACCAAGAACTTAATACATGTGTTGAATTTTAAGTGTTTCACTTGTATTTACCACATCGTGACTTTTCACTGTTTCTTTGAGATTTTAAAAAGTTAGAATGGTGTTTTATATATCATGTTCTAAGTTTAGAATAAATTTGAGGGTTCCAGTGATAAAGTGTCAAGTTTCTTGTCACTTATTTGTACAAGGGAGGTTAGATGTTCTTGTTCTTTTATTAATTAAGCTTTTAAAAAAATGTATTCTGATATATCTATACAGTTTAACACACAACATAGCAAAGAGATGTACAGGTCACAAATTTATTCTAATACTTGGTATATCTTTGTACTTTTAACAAATGTACGGTCATAGTCTGAAATTTGTACATAAAAAGGAAATATTTCTTTTTATCACTGGTTTGGCTACGTATGTGCTAGACTGTAGTTTGTTGTACTGTAAGTATTTTTTTTATTATGTAAGGGAAAAAATACTGACACTTTTTTCATTGAATTATAATTTGTTTGTTTTCCTCAGGACCTGAAAGTTATATTTTCTTATCTCCATGGAATGGAGGCTTTAGCTGGAGTTCGTGAGCATGCTCTGCAGAGTCTGTGCTCTATGGTTCGTTATGAGTTTCACGAGGGAAATGATATCATCTACTAGTAAGTGACAGAGAAAAAAATGAGAGAAATAACCTTGAGACTTCCTTTAATTTTGTAAGAAAATAACTGACACCCTTATTTGGCAATGGAAATAAAAAGTGGAAATGAGAACATTCTATCTATTATAAATATGCTGGTTCAAAGAATGGTCGTCTTGTGAGTCTGTACATAGGCCTGCATGTGCTAGTTTTGGAGTAGTAAAACTGCGTACCTACTATTGTATTTTATTGAGTAGAAAAGAGATGGTGAAACACTTTTTTTGTTGTGCAAAATTCTGAATGATGCCAATATTTCTACAGTTTCTTATCATCATCTTATTTAGTTCTAAATAAAGTACTAATTATGCCTCTAGATACAAAAGGAAAGAGGTAATTTTAAAGATAATGCCCGCTGGCAAGAGAGAATGAGAAGAAAAAAAGGTAGAAACAGTACATCCGTGCAAATGAAATGATTTAATTTCACTATTACATGCTCAGTTTCTGAACATCTGAGCTGGCCGAGCATGATAGTCATTGTGTGTGCTATTCCAGTAGGGTCTTCTATGGATGATCAGTTAGCCTTGTTTTGATGATTTTTTTTTCTTTTGAGTGACATACTTCGTGAGTCTGTACAAGCTAACTGTGGTCATGATTATGACATCACAGAAGTTATCTTTTTTAATACAATGCTCAGACTTGTTAATCATCTTTTAAGGTGACAATGGATGGAGACTTGCATTCGGTCAGGAACAACATTGTTTCGTCTTGGCTTTTGAAATGAAGTTATATTAGTTTCCTGTAGCAGCTGAAATAATTTTTTTCTCCGAACAAGTATGAATGTGAGTGGTATTTTTGGGCTATGACTATTACACTGTTGGTCTAAAGTCTCAACTCAGTGTATATTTCCGATGGATGTGTTTTTAAAGTTCTAAAACTCTTTTATTTTTAGTATTTTCCTGCTTTTTTCTCTTTTCACAGTCTCTCTTTTGAGTTGTATGTGTGTGCATTCTTTTTTTTTTGTCCAGAATGAAAAACGAATTTATGTATATTATCTAGCCTGATGTATGCTTATTCACGTTTATAATGAAATGATATATATATAATATAATGTTTTACAAACACTCTGGGAGATGTTTTAGTATTATTCTCATTTTTATATATGTATTTTTCTTATTCTGTAGACTGCACGTGGTACATGGTATGTTTATTTGTTTGTGTCTTACAGCCAGGGAGAGGTAGCCTCGTGCTGGTACATTTTATTGTCAGGCTCCGTGTTCATAGAAGGATCTATGTTCCTCCCCAGAAGCAGGTAAGGTGTTATTTCTTTGCTTTTTTTTATTAATGAGTTGATAATGTGTATGGATACACCGTTGCAAACCCCAGTAGAATGAGAGGGATGAGTAGCCAAACACTTGGCAACTTGAGAATTTTATGTAAAGCTGCCACCCCTAGGCGTGGGGTCGTCATCTTTTCTCCTTTCAAAGTTTTTTTTTGTAAACTGTTTTGTGAACCAACGGTTCAGCCAGGTTAAAAAGAAACCGAGCCCTGCCTGAGACATTCAGCACATTTGGAGACTTATGTCTAAATGGTTATTAAAGACCTATCGTTTGTCGGATAAATTTTCTTATTTGAGATTGAAAGTGAAAAGGTTAACGAATTTTGGAGGGAGGCTCGGCTCATATGTGGAGGAGGTGGTTCCGTGCATTCGAAGGATTTCAATCCGCCCCCCCCCCCCTTATCTCTGAGCTCTACGCACTTGTTTCATGTGTCAGAAAAGAAAGGGGGAAGGGAAGGGGGTTTGAAGTCAAATCTGTGTTTAGTGATTCCTGTGTGTGTGGTAGAGGGAGAGAGAGAGAGGGAGAGGGAGAGAGAGATAGAGAGAGACCTCTATTTTGTTTGATTTAACTTGGGAGTCTGAGCGTACCTGCCACTGACGTCATCATCTGGCTAGGGTATTTGTCGTGGACGCAAGGACTTTGCTGTATCTTTTAGACATTTGCGAGTACTCGTTGCTTTTGATATGTGCGTGTGGCATCTGACACTTGCCTCTTTGAAAGGTGGGGGGGGGGGATTTTTAGAAATGTTTTTTGTGATTTGAGAACGCCGAGTGAAGTGGAAAGGGTTCAAAGTATTGTTCTTACAATGATACTTTATAATTTATACCCAGAAATCATATCAAATCAACAAGTTATAGCCAATATCGATGCTTGATTTTCTTCCCGAGAACTCGGAATATTCTTATAAAATATTATCCTATACAAAGTAAAAATAATGTAAAGAGAAATGTGTAGCAGATAACGGAAAAGAAGATGACGTGGAGGGAAGGAAAACAGAACAGCATAGGCTCATTACCATTTTTTTGTAAACTGACGTTGTTTAGAGCTAGTGAACAAGGATGCGAACTTCTGTTGGAAATGGCGTACAGGAACAGTGATGGGCTCAAGGGCCACGCTTCCCCCTCCCCTCTCCCCCCTCACCTAAAACAAAAACGAAAAATATCTAAGATATCGACTGCTTTCTCTCTCTCTCTCTCTCTCTCTCTCTCTCTCTCTCTCTCTCTCTCTCTCTCTCTCTCTCTCTCTCCCCCCCCCCCTCTGTATAGTGGCATTCACATGTACACATGTAAGCGTACAAGTCTTATGTATGTCTATATAAATATACATGCTAGCAAGTGTATAACGAAATCAGTGGAATGCTGAAATCGTTTCGTTATGTACAAGTTTCGCTATGTACCGGTAGATTATTTGTGTTTTAGATGCAAAAATATACAGATCTAGATCTATAAGAAAAAAAGAAAGAAAAAAATCGGGACCCGATGATCTGTTCAGTATGTGCGTGTTCTCTAAGAGAGTGTGTGCAGACAGGCAGATAGATATATAATATACATACATACACTTATGTATTCATGCGTTTGGTAGAATAGTAAGTATGTGTGTGTGTGTGTGTGTGTGTGTGTGTGTGTGTGTGTGTGTGTGTGTGTGTGTGTGTGTGTGTGTGTGTGTGTGTGTGTGTGGAGTTATGTTTATAGCATAATAAATAATAATTCCTGCCTTTATTTCAGAGCTCGTTTGACATGATGTCTGATTATTCGTGTGTGATTGGTGTGGTCTTTATGATCTTGTTTTTGACATGTACTTTCTTTATTGTGTTTTCTATACTTTCTTTATGGCAAATTCTTTCAAATATTTCTTACATTCTTCATTATAAATGTATTCTTTTTAGTGCGGTTTTTTGTTTGTTTTAAACAAATGGGTTCTCTGCGTTCTTTGTTATAAACGTGTTCTTTACTACAAACACACTGCAGTTTAAGATTTGAATTCGACCGGGATGAGACGTGACCCCCTTTCCCTCCCCTAAACTCCCAGCTTTCTTTGAAGAACATTTCCCCATGGCCTGGTGTTGCGTGGAAAGAAGGCTCGGAGGGTTCCACCATAGAAATGACCTGTTTTGTGTTTCTATCCGAGGAGGCCGTTGAACTTGGACCACAGGTACGACTGATGCTACAAACAAAGGAGTCCTGTCAGTTGCCGCTGTGCATCATATCTTCCGTGTTCAGAATGTGTTAGTGGATGGTTGGATCCTGCCACTGTTAAGATCTTGTTTCTCTCTCTCTCTCTCTCTCTCTCTCTCTCTCTCTCTCTCTCTCTCTCTCTCTCCCACTCTCTCTCCCACTCTCTATATCTCTTGTAAAAAATTTGTTAGGGGGAGTGCCCCCCCCCCCAGCCCTATCCTATCCTTTCCTTAGTTGTTTCTGTCTGCTCCGTCTCCACACCAAGGGATAGTTATTACGTAGATATCCTTTTTGATTCAGTCTCGGACAACGACTTCCGAAATATCCGTGTGCGTGAGCTATGGGGAAGGGCTCTCGAAACATGTTGTTCGCTTATCGCTTGCGTTGTCTCTGCGTTTCTGGCTCTAAATATTATAAAGCGTACAGTTGCCAAACTTCGTGTTCCTGAAATGCGACCCAGTTCGCTTCGCAACATCGATCATATTCTTATGTCAGGTGCAGTTATGTTGGAAAAGTGTTGTTTTGTTTTGTTTTGTTTTTTCGGAAAGGGGAGCAGGAGCGGATATATTAAGTGATCATGCTCACAGGGATGAGAGGGAAAAATAAGTCTGTGGGTTTTTTGTATGGGTATGTGCGTGTGAGTTGTATTTG